AAGCCATGAAAAGACTTGTAGGAAACTTAAATGCATATTACCAAATAAAAGCAGCCAAGAAGCCAATTTGAAAAGGCTACATTCTGTATGATTCCAACATGTACCATGCCAGAAAAGGCAAAACTAGGGCAAGAGTACACAGATCAGTGGAGAAACCACCTTTGCAAAAATTATAAGAAAGAAAATTATGACAGTGAAAGAGGCATGACCTAACCAACTCCATCTTGCCTTTAACCCCCAAACTGCCCTTGTTCGTTCCTGGGTGTAGTAGGTCTAGCTAACTTTGGGAGGAATTTACACTTTAACTTTGAAACAAAGACAGTAACAGTCCCTCCCCAAAACAAGCATCCTCCTTGCTTGGAGACTAGACTACCTTTGTAAAAGTAACAAATTTGCCACAAAATTAGCAATAATGGCTCAGGGCCAGAAGCAGTGGTTCATGCCTGTAATCCCAGCACTTTGGGAGGCCATTGTGGGCAGATTGCTTGAGGTCAGGAGTTCAAGACTGCCCAACATGGCAAAACCCTGTCTCTACTAAACCAAAATGCCTACAAAAATTTGCTGGGCATTGTGGCACACATCTGTAGTCCCAGCTACTCAGGAGGCTGAGGCACGAGGATTGCTTGAACCTGGGAGACAGGGGTTGCAGTGACCTGATACTGTGCCGTTGCATCACAGCCTGGGTGACAGAGCAAGACTTCATCTCAAAATAAATAAATAAACAAACAAACAAACAAATAAAATAATGGCTCAGAAGTCACGCAGAGGCCATAAACTTCCTAACCTCCTCAATTGCTCCAATGGATAACATTACTACTGTAAAATGTAAGACTGATGTTTGACATATTTTTCAGACCCTGCATTCTAACAGATCCACTGGCCAGACCCATAAACTGGGACATCTGGTCTTGTGACCTCCCACCCAGGAACTGACTCCATGCAAGAGGACAGATTCAACTCCCTATGATTTCATCCCTAACTTAACCAATCAGCATTCCCCATTCCCTAGTCCATGCCTGAAAACTATCTTTTAAAAATTCTAGCTTCCAAATTTTCAGTGAGGCTGATGTAATAGTAAAACTCCAGTCTCCCATTTAATTGGCTCTATGTGTATTAAACAGTTTCTCCATAAAAAATTCCCCTGTCTTGATAAATTGGCTTCCTCTGGCAGAAGGCAAGTAGAACCCATTGGGGGTTACAGTTGTGGGTTATCAGAGATTGGTGAGGGGGATGAACCAGCAGGGCAGAGAGAATTTTTAGGGCAGTGAAAATATACTGTATACTACCATAAAGATGGACACATGTGATTACACATTTGTCTAAACTCATAGAAAGTAAGAAAACAAGAGCAAACCCTACATGTAAACGATGAACTCTGGGTGATCTTAATGTGTCAATGTAGTGTGAGGGCTCAGAAAATGATACCCCAAAGTAAGGCTCTTTGGTATCCTGACTGGGGAACAGCAGGGAACCAGCGGATGCAAGCTGGTTTTCTCTGAGGACCCCTAATCTGCTTAAAGATGGATGTGGAAAGACCGTACCACAGGAAAAAGAGACTAAAGGTTAACAACCTCACCCAGAGAAGCTTTACCCATTCTTTGGAGGGCTGCTCCCCAAGATATTTTAATCTACAAAACAAGACCTTTGTTCACTAGATTTCTTCCTCTCATCCTCCCAAAGCTGTCTGTCCTCACCTCCACTCCCTAGAAGTCCCAAGCCCCTCTTTCTTTCTGCAGCTACAGATACTATAAAAATTCCAATCATCTGGCCTGAGTCTTTTATTTTGTGAGACTCTTGTGTATATATGCACATAATAAATCTGTATGCCTTTCTCCTATTAATCTGTCTGCTTTCAGTTTATCACAGATTCAACTACAGAAACTTCAGAGGGTGCAGTAAAAGTTTCCGTCACCCCTACAGTTTGTTCATCTATTGTAACAAATGTACTACTCCAGTGGGGGATGCTAATAATGGGAGAGGCTATGCATATGTTGGGGCAGAAGGTGTATGGAAAATCTCTGTGCTTTCCTCTTAATTTTGCCATGAACTAATCTTAAAATATTAAGTCTTAAACAAACAACAGACAGCCAGGCTCGGTGGTGCATGCCTGTAGTTCCAGTTACTGTATATTGTAACCCCACTATTCAGACTACTGCTCAGAAAAAAAGATTCCTAGGCTGGGTGTGGTGGCTCACGCCTGTAATCCCACCACTTTGGGAGGCCACAGTGGGCAGATTACGACGTCAGGATATCGAGACCATCCTGGCTAACACGATGAAATCCCGTCTCTACTAAAAATACAAAAAATTAGCCAGGTGTGGTGGCAGGCGCCTGTAGTCCCAGTTACTCGGGAGGCTGAGGCAGGAGAATGGTGTGAACCCAGGAGGCAGAGCTTACAGTGAGCCGAGATCGGGCCACTGAACTCCAACCTAGGAGACAGAGCGAGACTCCTTCTCAAAAAAAAAAAAAGAAAAAAGGATTCCTTTCAAAATATTACTGCTCACTGAAAATGCACCTGGTCACCCAAGAGCTCTGATGGAGCTATACAAGGAGATTAATAATGTTTTCATGCCTACTAACACAACATCCATTATGTAGCCCCACGGATCAAGAAGTAATTTTGACTTTCAAGTCTCATTTTAAAAATACATTTTGGCCGGGCGCGGTGGCTCAAGCCTGTAATCCCTGCACTTTGGGAGGCCGAGACGGGCGGATCACGAGGTCAGGAGATCGAGACCATCCTGGCTAACACCGTGAAACCCCGTCTCTACCAAAAAATACAAGAAAACTAGCCGGGCGAGGTGGCGGGCGCCTGTAGTCCCGGCTACTCGGGAGGCTGAGGCAGGAGAATGGCGTGAATCCGGGAGGCGGAGCTTGCAATGAGCTGAGATCCGGCCACTGCACTCCAGCCTGGGCGACAGAGCGAGACTCCGTCTCAAAAAAAAACAAAAAAACAAAACAAAACAAAAAAAATACATTTTGGCTTTCCTTTCGGCAGAGCGCGGCGGCAAGATGGCTGTGCAAATTTCCAAGAAGAGGAAGTTTGTCACTGATGGCATCTTCAAAGCTGAACTGAATGAGTTTCTCACTTGGGAGCTGGCTGAAGAATGCTACTCTGGAGTTGAGGTGTGAGTTACACCAACCAGGACAGAAATCATTATCTTAGCCACCAGAACACAGAATGTTCTTGGAGAGAAGGGTCCACGGATTCCGGAACTGACTGCTGTAGTTCAGAAAAGGTTTGGCTTTCCAGAGGGCAGTGTAGAGCTTTATGCTGAAAAGGTGGCCACTAGAGGTCTGTGTGCCATTGCCCAGGCAGAGTCTCTGTGTTACAAACTCCTAGGAGGGCTTGCTGTGCGGAGGGCGTGCTATGGTGTGCTGCAGTTCATCATGGAGAGCGGGGCCAAAGGCTGCGAGGTCGTGGTGTCTGGGAAACTCCGAGGACAGAGGGCTAAATCCATGAAGTTTGTGCATGGCCTGATGATCCACAGGGGAGACCCTGTTAACTACTACATTGATGCTGCTGTGCGCCATGTGTTGCTCAGACAGGGTGTGCTGGGCATCAAGGTGAAGATCATGCTGCCCTGGGACCCAACTGGTAAGACTGGCCCTAAGAAGCCCCTGCCTGACCAAGGGAGCATCCTGGAACCCAAAGATGAGATACTGCCCACCACTCCCATCTCAGAATAGAAGGGTGGGAAGCCAGAGCCACCTGCCGTGCCCCAGTCAGTCCCCACAGCATAACAGGGTCTCCTTGGCAGCTGTATTCTGGAATCTGGATGTTGCTCTGTAAAGACCTTTAATAAAATCTTGTACAAAAACAAAAAATAAAAAAATAAAATAAAATAAAAATACAATTTGAGGCCGGGGGCGGTGGCTCACGCCTGTAATCCCAGCACTTTGGGAGGCCGAGATGGGTGGATCACGAGGTCAGGAGATTAAGACCATCATGGCTAACACAGTGAAACCCCATCTCCACTAAAAATACAAAAAAAAAATTAGCCGGGCATGGTGGTGGCCTCCTGTAGTTCCAGCTACTCAGAGGCTGAGGCAGGAGAATGGCCTGAATCTGGGAGGTGGAGCTTGCAGTGAGCCGAGATCCCGCCACTGCACTCCAGCCTGGGTGTCAGAGCGAGACTCCGTCTCAGAAAAAAAAAAAAAAAAATTTTGGAAAGACTATAGCTGCCATAGACAGTGATTCCTCTGATGGATCTGGACAAAGTAAATTGAATAACTCCTGGAAAGGATTCACCATTCTAGATGCGATTAACAGCTTTTGTGATTCACGGGAGCAAGTCAAAATATTAACATTAACAGGAGTTTGGAAGAAGTTGATTCTAACCCTCATGGATGACTGAAAAGCTTGAGAATTCAGTGGAGTAAGTAACTGCAGATGTGGTGGAAACAGTAAGAGAACTCTAGTTCAGAAATGAAACCTGAAGATGTGACTGACTTGCTGTAATCTCATTATAAAAGCTGGATGGATGAGTTCTCTCTTATGGATGAGCAAAGAAAGTGATTTCTTGAAATGGAATTTACTCCTGGCAAGGATGCCATGAACAGTGTTGAAATGACAACAGAGGATTTAGAATATTACATAAACTTAATTGATAAAGCAGCAACAGGACTTGAGGGGACAGACTTCAATTTTGAAAAAAATGACTACTGTGCATAAAAAGGCATCAAACAGCAATGCATACTACAGATAAATCTTTCCTGAGAGTGTCGATTAATGTAGCACACTTTATTGTGCTCTTATTTTAACAAATTGCCACAGCTACCCCAAACTTCAGCAACCAACCCCCTCATCATTCAGCAGCCATCAACACTGAGGCAAGATTCTTGATCAGTAAAAATATTATGACTTGCTGACAATCATTAGCATTTTGAGCAATATTTTTAAATTAAGGCATGTATATTGTATTTTAAGACATAATGCTATGATACACTTAGAAGATAATAGTGTAAACATAACTTTTATATGCACTGGGAAACCAAAAAATCCACACGACCCATTTTATTGCAATATTCGCTTTTTACCACAATATCTCCAAGGTATACACGTGCAGTTTGCTTCTACTACAGTGGTTTTGCCATTTAGTATATAGTACAAATCTGCAACTATTTATTGTTTGGCAATGCTTTTTATTTTGCAACGAACCCTTCTGGCACCAGTAAGCTTTTAAAAAAAAGTGTTATCTTGAGTGAAAAACTGAAATTTTTTCATTTCTCAAAACCAGTTGATAATAAACATGTAACATGGAGACTACTGCAATCTCACTGACTAAATGTAAATCAAAAGACACCAATCAGCCAGGCACGGTGGCTCACACCTGTAATCCCAGCACTTTGGGTAGACAAAGTGGAAGAATCGCTTGAGCCCAGGAGTTCGAGACCAAAGCCTGGGTAACATAGTGAGACCCCTGTCTCCGCAAAAAAAATAGAAAAAAAATAGCCAGGTGTGATGGCACACGCCTGTAGTCCCAGCTACTCAGGAGGCGCAGGTGGGAGGATTAGTTCGGCCTGGGAAGTCAAGGCTGCAGTGAGCCAAAATCATGCTACTGCACTGTAGCCTGGGAGACAGAGTGAGACCCTGTTCCAGGAAAAACAAAATAAAATAAAATAAAAAAGACACAAATCTACTGATTGTGCATCAGAATCTACTTTTTAAATTACTGTACATGGAGACAACAGGTATAGCTACAGATAACATGTATTTACATATTACACTGAGAAGCACAATTTTTTCATTTAGATCAAATCACTAATCATCTAACTTAATTTCACTCATTTTCATTCTAGGTTATCTTATGCACATATAAAAAGTAAAGCAATAGTTGTTAGACTGTTAACAAAAGAATTACTTTGCAAAACGTTGAATGCTGTTAGCTTTGTATCAGTGATACCAGATGCTTCAAATGGAAAAACCAGTTAAATTAAATCTAGGAACAGGCTGAATTCTTTATCAAATTCATGGAGTCAAAGTAAAACTATTGGTGACTATTTGTTTAATTTTTTTTTTTTAAGAGTCAGGGTCATGCTCTTTCACCCAGGCTGGAGTACAGTAGGGCAATCATAGCTGGCTGCAGCCTCAAACTCCTGGGCTCAAGCAATCCTCCAGCCTCGGCATCCTGGGCAGCTGGGCCTACAGGCATGAGGTGTCATGCCTGGCTAATTTTTAAAACACTGTTGTAGAGACAAGGTCTCTCACTTTGTTGCCCAGACTGGTCTCCATCTCCTGGCTTCAAGTGGTCCTCCGGCTTCAGCCTCCCAAAGTGCTGGGATTATAGTTGCAAGCCACTGTGCCCGGCTGGAAATTCATTCTTAAAGGTGAAACATCTGATGTTATCATGAGTGTTATTGTAAATTCAGTTTTTAGAAAGTTCAGCAGTGGCTCACATCTGTAATCCCAGCACTTTGAAGAGGCTGAGGTGGGTGGATCACCTGGGGTCCAGAATTTGGGACCAGCTTGACAACATGGTTAAACCCCGTCTCTACAAAAATTATCTGGGCATGGTGGCATGCACCTCTAATCCCAGCTACTTGGGAGGCTGAGTACGAGAATTGCTTGAACCTGGGAGTGCAGGTTGCCGTGAGCCTGCACTCCAGTCCGGGAGGCACAGCAAGACTCTGTCTCAAAACACATAAAAATAGATTAAATAAATAAATAAATAAATAAATAGTTCACCACTGAAGATAAGATTATTTTTTACACTGATAACACATTTTGGTGGAGCAGAGTGCTAAGGTAAGAAACAATGTTCTTATTAGAGTCTTTGAGAGGAATGTACACGCAATTAGTGGTGCATACACAATTTATAACCATGCCCAAACTGTGACATTCTAATAATCGAAACAGAATCTGCTGTCAAATTGACACTTGGCTAAAAATCTGTATTTATACAGTAAGAGTAATATATAAAATTTTTGTGACAAGATTGCTATTGAGCACAAGCACTTCCCTATGGCAGCATAAGCTTTCCTTTTGGGCTGCCTATCACATAGATTTTAGAAATACTAGAGCCGTTTCAGAACTAACTTGTAAATCAACCTAAGTATCCTACAATGATGCTGAAATTTCTTATAAACTAGTTACCTAGATTTTGGTTGCATTTTGTTCAAATCAGTAGGAATTATTTAACCAAAGTACTGGACAAATAAAGAAACAAAAAGCTTAAGCTTTTAACAAAGTATTTTTGAAAATAAAGCTTAGGCCTGGCGCGCTGGCTCACGCCTGTAATCTCAGGACTTTGGGAGGCCGAGCTGGATGGATCACGAGGGTCAGGAGTTTGAGACCACCCTGGCTAACACGGTGAAACCCGGTCTCTACTAAAAATACAAGAAATTAGCAGGGCGCAGTGGCAGGCACCTGTAGTCCCAGCTACTCGGGAGGCTGAGGCAGGACAATGGTGTGAACCTGGGAGGCGGAGCTTGCAGTGAGTTAAGATCACGCTACTGCACTCCAGCCTGGGTGACAGAGCAAGACTCCATCTCAAAAAAAAAAAAACAAAGTTTATAACTAGAAGATAAATTAGATAAATTTACTAAAAGAAGAAACAATGAATTATGAGAGCACAAATAATGTACAAGATCTAATTTTGAAATTCTATAACTGCGTCTCTATCTCAACTTCAGAAAACAATCTTTGGAAGGAACTCCTAGTTATAACTGCATATACTCATATTCATACCCAAATAGAAGAAAATTAAAAAGGCCTATGATTTTGAAGCATGTGAATTTGGCAAAACGTTTATAATAATCCTAAGTACAGATAATTTATCTGACAAGTTTTATCTTACAGAAATACCTGTCAAAGAAAACTAATCTAAATGGACACAAAGAGAGTACCTATTGGCTGGGCGTGGTGGCTCATGACTGTAATCCGAGCACTTTGGGAGGCCGAGGTGGGCAGATCACGAGGTCAAGAGATCAAGACCATCCTGGCTAACACGGTGAAACCCCGTTTCTGCTAAAAATATAAAACATTAGCCAGGTGTGAGAATGACGTGAACCCGGGAGGTGGAGTTTGCAGTGAGCCCAGATCACGCCTCTGTACTTTGGCCTGGGCGACAGAGTGAGACTCCGTCTCAAAAAAACAAAAAGGTACCTATTAAAATCTTTGGGTTTAAATATTTATAATTTAAACGCAAAAAAAATATTGTTTTGAGAATATCCTCCATTGGGCAACATTTGCCCTGAGTTTCTTTGGTATCCCAGTATCTATAGCAGAATAGTTTTCTCTATTAATCATAAAATGTAACTTCAAAAAAGATATCAGGCAATTAAAAACAATTAGCTAAAACCAAATTGCAAAATCTATATTCTTCAAAGAAAAAAAGTGACACTGTATTATAGACAGGAACAGATAGAAAGTACATAAATATGTCTCAAGAACAATTATTTTCTTTATGTTCTTTTTGTAACATTCATACAATCACAATAAAAAGTGTTTTGCCTTGAAGTATACAAATGTTTTATATTTTGAAAAATTTTGAGAAGTTATAAAGAACTTTTCATAATTCTAACAACATAATATAATTTATATGTCAATAAATACACATTTCAAAAATGTATGTATATGATTTTAGTGCTTCTTTTACTCTCAGAAGTGTCCCAGTTTTGACAACAAATTATACAACCAAACTAATAATAGACAGGACAAAACATCAGCACATTTAAAAAGGCCAGACTATTACTGGCCAAAAATAAAAAATGTCATGTTATCTCTTTGCTTTTTAAACTAAATTATTTGGCATCTAGTGTTCGAAAGTAGAGGAAAAAAATAAATTTAAAAAAAAAAAAGGCCTACTTAAGTTTTCACAAAATTTCTAAATCTCTACT